CAGTAATAACTGGTTGACCCATGTTTGATGAAGTCAACACGTGTGGACTCTCGGGGATGACGCCACACACTGGTAACCCCAGCATCTCTCCAATATCATCGACAGACAAACAATCTTCATTTCGAACACGATTAGCATCGTATCGATCAATTAGTAATTGCTGATTGTCAGGAACTCGACCTTCGATTGCACGCAATGACTTGCTCGCAATAAAGCCAATCATTTTGTCAGAGTCTCGACAGCTTGAAATCTCGGGATTTGTCACAAGAATAGCGTCATCAGCAAAGTACATAGCATGACGAGCTCCAGACTCAATGCCAGCGGGTGAATCGCATAAAATGTACTCAAATTGACTCTTAAGCTCATCTAGAACCTCTTCAACTCCTTCTTCAGTCAGTGCGTCCTTATGACTTGCAGCTAAGAGCGACAAGCGCTCAAGACGCTTATCTTTGATTAAAGCTTGATTTAAACGGTAATTCTTTTCAAAAACATGAATAAAGTCAAAGATCACGCGACATTTGCAGCCCTACGAAGATGTTCATAAGAATTCGAGACTTGATTATAAATTTGTGTATACCATACCAGATGCAAGTCGAGGCAGAGTCCAATGTACGAAAACCACGCTGTGCCAGGCCGTAGCCGATTGAAGCTGTGACTGTAGTCTTACCCACATCACCTTTGCCAGATGTGAAGACGACTACACGGACTGGTAGTTTGCAGCTTGTACTTGTCGAGGCGAACGTACCGATGATGAAAAACATCAGTGAACATTAATTACTACGATGAGATACCACAAGTGATCGAGTAATATATTTTATTAAGAGCAGTATTTCTTCAAAAAATTATGATACTACTACCAAAAATCATCTATTTTTGTCTCGGTCTTTGCCCTCTTTGAGGCTGGGCCGTTGCTAAAAACTTTTCTGCTGCTATCTTGATCAACTTCAATGCCATTTACTGTGGCTTTCAGCGGTGAATTATCGAGAAAATACGAATTCCCGAAAGCAAATAACCACTACAAGTACTCATGCTCCTGGATGAGTGCGACCAGGTAGCACCTGATTTTCTCGAGTCCAAGTTTCATTCAATTGCAGATCAATTATTGCCTCCAGTTTTTGAAGTGTAGCAAACGTTTGGGTTAATGGCTACTAGACCAAATCAAAAAGTGACAATACGTTGTCAGTTAAATTCTAAAAATTTCAACGATGCTCCATTCACTTACCTTGAGAAACTCAGAGTAGATCACAAATGGCTTTGAACATTCGAGGTATGGCAAGAGTGCCATCAAAACCTTCTCGGGATCATAATTTGCAGCTATGACAAGACTGTCAGACTTTTGACTAACCCATTCACGGATTGTTGACGGCTTTTGTCGAAAACGTTTTGTTTGCTCACGAAGTGCTTCTTTCTCTGCGAAACGTTTTTGCTGCTCAGGTGTGAAGTTCTTGGCACGCTCTGCTGCCATAAGCTCTCGCTCTTCCTGCGTCAGCCCATTCCTAGCGACTTTCTTGATTTTCACTACATCTTCTTCTTTTCATAATTGAAAATTCCTTTAGTTTGTTACTTCTTTAAAGGTGAAGATCTGTTGTCATCGCTGGCATATCTTTTATTCTTAACACCGACGTGCATCTGGTATACTAATAATGTCGTCCATCGAGCCTTAAATCGATACTCCAATTTCCTCTCCAACAGGCAGCAAGTGTTTCGAGTAATCGACATCTTGAAGGAGCCTTTCTTAGCTGCCATTGTAATGTTCCTGCTTCATTATCGAGTGCAACTGTTTATGTATTATTCAGATCTATACATCTTTTTTATTTTAGGCTTTAGTTGCATCGTTTGTTCACTAAGTGTCACGGGATTACAGCGAACACTCACGGGCAGAGCCCAACTTCGTCTCCCGCACGCGGTGCCATGTCGGACCGTGTGTCTACGGCATCGAGGGATGTAAATCCTAGGCTCGATGAGCCCGAGCGTCGCACGCTATCAGTAACGAGTGACCTCATTGAAGATGTGGAGGAGGCCGACTACTCGGATACTACTTTCCCGGGGGGGGATGACGAGGAAGGCGATCCGCGCCAGCTGCGTAACACGAGCCCTGCACGCGCCTTGCGGACCTCATGTCCGTTTCCTGGCTTCTCATTACCTGAGGGACGTGGTGTTATCACCAATGACCTCGACGAGGCACAGAGGCGGCAGCTGGAAGCTTCCCGTAAGGCGGCTCTGATGCGCGCCCATCCTCGGTCAGTCATTGACCCACGTGTGGAATATGGCTTCCGCCCGGCC